CCCCCCGCTGGTGGGCGGGGCCTTGGCAAGGGGCGGGGCGGGGCCTGGAAGGCTCCTCCCCCTCCCGGCCACTGTGCCCAGCTGCCAGGCCGCCCTGCCCCGAGCCAGCCTAGCATTAGCAGGAAAAGAGGAAAAGCAAAGGTACGAGCTCAGCAGGACAGGCTAATTTCAGAACAGACCTGAGAGGGGCCGTCCTGACACTGAGACCGGACTGGCAGCTCGCTCTGGGCTGTGAGGTCTTCACAGGGTCGTGAGCACGCAGCAGCCCGGGAAGGGAAAGGTCAGAATGCGGCCTTCGAGGGGGACTTCGAGGAGGAGGCATCGCGGCTGCCTGTCCCGAGCAGGGCGCAGGATGGAGCGACAGGGCGCAGCTGTGTTCAACCCGTGACCACCCGTCTTCAGAGGGGAAGGGCACAGCCGGACAGAAGAGGCCACTTTGGATGGGGACGTCCGAGTCCTTCACCATCCACGGACTGAAACCTCTACACAGTGTGAGCCCAGAGCCCGGCGTGGTGGGCACAGCTGTGACCCCAGCACTCGGGGGCTGAGGTGGGGATTGCAGTGAGTTCAAGGCCAGCCTAGGCTACATACAGACATTCCTCAACTCACAACTGAATTCTGCTCCTGTGACTCAGTCGTTAAACAAATTGGTCGCTAAATGAGGAGCAGCATGTACAGTACAATATTCAGAACAAGGGAACGGTCAAAGGAAATTCCAACTCCATGACTGCTTTTGTTCGCATGCTTTTTTTTTCTGGTACTGGGACCGAACTCAGGACCTTGTGCTTGTGAGGCAGGCGGCAGAACCACTGAGCTAAATCCTCAGCCCTGTTTGCATAACTCTTAACACACAGTTAATGTAGAACAGAATGTAGAACAGTACTGTACAGCACAGGCAAGAAGTGACAGCCCTGTACAAACAAAAAGTGTGCTGCACAGAAAACAACATTGAGAATCTACGAACAAGACGTACAGAACGTACAAAACAAGATGGGTTGTTAAGCAGGTAGGTTGTTAAACAAAGAATATCTGTAGTGATGCCCTGTCTCAAAAAGCAAAACAAAATAAAACAAATAACAGAGCCCAAACTGATCTCTCTTTAAATTGCAGATGTTAGCAATCGAGTTCCTGAGATGAAAAAGTGATGAGAACAGCCTAAGGGAGGGACCCCTGCACCTTGTAGGTTTGGAGCCAGCCGGCCTCAAACTCTGGAGATCCTCCTGCCTCAGCCTCTCTAGTACTGGGATTATGCCCAGCTTTTTTTTTCCCCCTGGTACCAGGAATTGAACTCAGGACTTTGCACTTGTCAGGCAGGTGAGATGTCACTGAGCTACATCCTAGGCACGAAGTTGAGGTTTTTTAAAAGTACAGTTTTTGTTACTGTTGCTCTGAGACAGGGTCTCACTATGCAGTTCCATCTAGGAGAAGAAGTCACTGAAAAACACATTGGCTGGCACAGTAAACCAGGGGTGAAAGCCACCTCCTACCAGGCTAGGATCTCAGAGGCCCAGGGCCCTGGGCCCACAAGACGTGAGCCTACCCCGACACGGCAACTTGGTCTCCCCCTAGGGTGGGGTTGGGGCACTGAGCCCCCAGGCTGGCTGAGGGTGAACCACAGACTGTCCAGACCTCAGGGGAGCTGAATCAGGAGGGAGGCTGTGTGGGGAAGATGGGCAGGGGACCCTGCCAAGTGGCTGCCAGTCTTCCCAGGCCTCAGTTTCCCCATCTGTGCAGTGGGCCTGAGGAGGATCCCTGCAAAGGCTGTGCAGGGTCCGACGGGAGCCAGTGGCCGCAACCCTCTCCCGGAGTTCCCACAGGTCCAGGCCCTGAGCAGGAGGTGCTCTTCCAAGAGAAGAACGGCTGGGGGTCCCTCTGGTGCCCTCCCTGAGGCCAACAGTGGCACAGACTGGGAGGCCGCACACTGGGCTGGCTGCCCCGGGCCGGGCCGTGCAACCTCCATGTGTGCACAGCTGGCTGGGGGTCAGGCCAGTGGCTGTGGCCTCTTTGTGGTCTCCATGGGGCTTCCTCCATCCTCTTGGGCTCCAGCGGAAGGGGTGCCCTGGCCTGCCAGAACTGTGCCCCATGGGGCAGGCGCCCAGGGGCCGGCATGGTGCTCTGAGCTGTGATGGCCCCATGGGGTCAGCGAGGCTCCTGACCCTGTCCAGTCACAGCGGTCACACCAGAGGTCCAAGCACTGTGCCTTTATTCACAGTGACAGTGGGTGGGGTAGCTGGCCTGGAGGACACAGGGCCCAGTGGTGGCTCAGCTGGGGCCCAGGGGCCCTGTGTGTGGGGACAGTGAGTGTCCACAGGGCCCAGAGGGAGGAGGTGGTGGAGACCGAGCGTGGGTGTGGACGCGGTCTCGGCAGCCTCCACCACGGCTCATCTCAGCGCCCCAGCCAGGGAGCCCTGGCAATGGACCCCTATGGGCTCCAGAGCCTGGAGCCTGTGAGGTGGGCACTGCGGCTCAGGTGGCTGTCCGTATCCCGGTGCCAGTCCCTGTGAGCCCTGTCCCTGGCCGTGGCCAGGAACACGATGTTGTCCTCTGTGAGGCCCTGCGCTCTGGACAGGCGGATGAACTTCTCTGGCGTCCCAGCGGGCAGCGTCCAGGTCCTGGCTGCAGCCAGGGCACCGCACAGCCCTGAGTCACGGCTCCAGCCACCTGTCCCAGGTCCCCTCTGCCCCAGGTCATGCAGGGTCAGGTGTGGGGGCTCACCCAGCAGGCTGACCCTGATGACTGGCTGGCCGGCCGCCTGTCTGTGGGACAGCAGCAGCGCGAAGCTGGTGTAGTTGGTGTCGACCACCTGGACCTGCTCTGTGTCAGCGCCGGGCCCTGTGGGCACAGGTGTCAGCCCTGCCGGCCCCTCCGCACCCCACCCCTGTCCCACTTACCTCCATGGTCCACAGTGAACCGTCCCGGCTGGGGTGCCGGCACCAGCAGGTAAGACCAGGTGTCACAGTGCTTGCCCCTGTGGGGGTCAGGAGGGGCCGAGGGCTGAGGTCGCCCATGCCCCCCAGGCTGGGCTCTTCCCTGGAGTTCCCCCCCAGGCTGTGGGCTCAGCCCGGGGCCCCTCCAGCCCTCTGCTCCTCCCTGGAGCTCGGCCCACCCAGTGTGTGTGCCAGGCTGCCCCAGGATCCCAGGACCAGACTGCACAGGCGTGACAGTGAAAGGTGTTTCCGGGCAGCAGCCTCCCACCTGGCACCCTCAACCAGCATGGGGCAGGTGTGGGTGCACATGGGTCGGGGGGTGAGATGGCCCAGACGACCTGGCTTTGGTTCTGAGAGGTCACAGAGGAGCAGGTAAGCTGCTGTGGCATCTGGTCCCCCATGGCTGTGCTTGGCACCTGGATCAAGCCAGATGAGGTACCCAGAGCCCAAGACCCTGTGGAGGGTCTACATGTGGCCAAACCCTAAAGGTGACACCCAGATTTGTGGGACAGTGCTCCCACGGGCGGGGACTGGGCAGATGCATCTCCCCTTCCCCTGGACTGGACTTCTCCGGGCCCAGTCCTATGGGTGCTTTGCTACTTGGACTCTAAGAGACCTGACAGGGACGCCCCTGGGCCTCCTCAGCACACCAGGTAGGTGAGCGAGGAGGGTGGTGTGGTGGAGAGGTGACCTCAGTGTCCCTGATCCCTGGGAAGGTGAGGCCTCTTCAGGTTCCTGCAGCTGTCCATCCCCCCAACTGGGGATGGGCACCCGGTCCTAGCCAATCAGAGTTCTCAGTGATGTTGCAATTGGTTAAGAGAAGCATATGACTCAGGAAGAGCCAATCAGAGTCTGTTCCCAAACTAGCCCAGCCGCATTTTTTTTTTTTTTTTTG